GCCATCTCTTATTCCGATAACCTCTTGAGAACATTAGAGTCATTCGTTCTGTTGCCAAATGGTTCCAGGTTGGAAAATGAAATTCGCGGATGCTCCATCTGGGCAGTAGAACTCTTGAGGAGAGCTATAAAGGAGAGGATCGAACGCGACAACACACACGAGTTGATACCAAAATTAAATGCGATTACATTGGATTTTTTCATATGGGATTTCGCCAAAGAACATCTTGATGAGTTAGCTGTACCGATCCATAGAACACGCAGTATCTATTATTAATTATCATATCATGTTATACAGTATGTAAAGGGAGACTCATGATTAAAATTTTAATGGGTCACATTCGCATCACTTTCGTGTCATTCATTGCGAGAGTAAATAAAAAATTTTACAGTACATGTGTGACCAGAAATTTGTCATACAGATTTTTTATGACAGATCATCGTTGTTACGAAAGGTCGCACAATAATTTTTGTGAATTATCAAAACCTGATGCGATCCACCCTGGGGGTACCCAAAGAGGTAATAATTCCATGTGTTTACACTGACACATTCTATTAACGACCAGGATGATACAAATAGGATGAAAAGGAACAATAGGCACAACAACAATTGGGATCGACCCAAAATCAGGATTTCACACTCCAGAATTATAGCATCAGCCGACTATTTCAAATTTAATAAAATTAATATGTTGCCCCGCGGCCATATAGACGGAAAATACGCAAGTGCTCGTGAAAGGTCGCAATAACGTGAGTCGGTCATCGGTTTAGGGTACGGATTTTTTTGATGCAAGGAACAATTTTCGATTTTCATAATAGCAAAGGGAATAATATCAAATTTTCGTTACATGGTGACACTAAGGATAAAGGAAATTGATGTTACCATAAATGGGAATAAATAAGTGTGTCTCGAATTCGGGAATATGGTACCGTTTCATAATACTTGAGAAATTTTGATATTGTGGTAAACGTCGATGAAAGGTGGGGAGAGGGAACGACTCGCGTTCTCATTTTTTTTAATGTTTGTGTGTCGGTGAACAATTCACATTTCCCTGAGCTATTATCCTATTATCTCAAAAAGAGATCGATATGTATCGTTGATGCTTAAACTACGATCAATTCGAAAACGTGGTTAGAGGCATAAAAATTTCTCCGCATTTTATCATTTGTTTATGGTCATTTGATCTTCCAATTCTGGTGGTTGTACACGTAGAAGTTACACGCATACATTAATACATTAATACATTAATACATTATTAGCATACACTCACTCATTGAGCCACACTACTATTTCATGTTTTTCTAATCTTAGGTTTACTGCGGCATGATGTTCCCGTTGTCATTCGATGATTACTTTTCTTATATTCACCTCATTCTTTGTTATTTCCTTTTATGTAATATAGCGATTGCGTTATTGTCTCATTCATCTTTGTCGGGCAGAAGCGCACTGTGCTTAGAAAGGCTCACAAATTGTTCAGATATGAATAGCCGAACACTATTTTTATTGCAACTCCATGAAGGTCACCGTTGGATAAAAATAGAACCGAATCGACCTCATACTAAGATGTTTGTTAGTTACATCACGCATTAAACGAATA